TCTTGCTTGACTTGCCAAGAAATGTATAAAATACATATTAACGAGTTGTTAAGTAGTAGTCATCGGAAGGAGAAAGAAAAAAGGGAGGAAATGGATGAAAAAAATTAAATGTAAGACGCTAACAAAAAAAAAAAAAATAAAATAAGAAATAAAATAGTCTATTCTTCTTCTTCTTCTTTTTCATCTGCTTCTTCGAACGAGCTACAACAAATCCAATTGAAATTCCGTTGTAAACGTTCTCAATAAAATTGTGCCGGCTACTCGTACATTGTTCTAAATCGCCCTCGAAGCAACGAGAGAGAGAGTTCGTCCGCTATATCGGCTTTATGCCAGCGTGAAGCAGCCAACTATACGCCGGGCAAGGAAACACAAACTTTATACGTTACGACGAAACTACCGCATCGGTGGGGGCGACGGGGGATGGGGGTGGGAACAAAAGACTTTCACAGAGAGACATTACGAAAGAGGAAAATATGTGAGCACACCGATACGGGAGAGGACTCGTAAAGTGGAAACGCAGGAGCTCGCCGACGGGCGCCGCAACTTAAAAAGACAGAGAGAGAAAGAGAAAGAAAGAAAGCTACGCGAGAAAAAGCGTAAAAGCGTAGTAGTAGTAGTAGTAGTAGTAGGTTTTTTTTCTCGGAATTTTGCTAAATTAAAGTTGGGCGACGCGGCTTATCGCGCCTCAGCTATCGCGCTTAACCCTTAACGAGGATATTATGCACGTACGCTGGAACTCGATTATGGCGTCGTCGATCAGATTATACCTTAAACCGAACCGTTCCTACGTATTATCCCTTGGTAATTTGAATACCTTTGCGTCTGTTATTCGTTGCCGCTCCAAACGATTTCATCTTTTCCTATACAAGAATGAAATATTAAATGAAAAATACTTACCGATGTTAACTCACGACTTATGCAACAACAACAACATGGAGAAATGAATTTATTATGCGAGGGATGAAAGAAATAACAATTAGAATTTCTCGTTTAAAATCTTATTATTTTTTTTTTGATATAAGGGATGAGGGTGGAGATACTACGACAACATTGTTGTCCTCCGATCGTACAAAACTTATTTTGAAAAGATGAAAAGAGGTATATAAGTAAGTACTTAGACGATTCCGTAGGGAACTGCCAAGAAACGAGCGCTAATCGTGCCGATAAACAAACGGATCCGCATCGAGCATAATTTCAGCTTTATCGCATGCACCGTTACGTCCTCTTGGCGAATGAAAGAACGGAGATAAAGCCCCCCCCCCCCAAGTTCTTTTGTGCCGCATCCTATCACGAGAATAGGTAGGGAGGGAACAAGAGAGTTGGAAAAGGCGAAAGAGAAAGATTACGTTTATTCGAATCAGAGCGAGATACGATACAAAGGGTTATGTTCTTCATAAAATACCTCCTAGCTCCTCTCTCTCTCTTTCTCCCTCTCGACCTCTCCTTCTCGAATATATCCGGCGACATCTTGATATTATCCGGGGAACTTGCCAACTTCTTTATACAGACATTTATTTTCTTCCGTATACGTTATAGCCAAGTCGCAGTTTTGCAGATTGTGCTACTTAGCTTTTTGACTACCATCCCACTTACTACGTTCTTTCTTTTCTTACTTACTTGGCCTAGCTATTATTTTTTTTTCTATTCGATATCGAGTACTTTTCATTTTTCAAATTTATATAGAAAATGTATGGCGAATTTAGTTGGAAACTACTGAAAAAGTTTAGCTAACCCTGTACAAAGCTCGATACACCGTTTCACTTTAAACGTCGTCGGATCGGACATACTTCGATGGAAAATTGATTTACGATACCCCCACCGTTACAATCGCTTAACGAGCATAGAAATTAACCTCTAACTACACGTGGGGGGTAAAGGTGATTGCAAAATCGATAACATGGCACGCGAAAGAAAATCGTGAAGGAAATCTGATGCCGAGCGCTGCTGTTTCCCGTAATATAGGAGTCATCGAGTATGTCAAATTCACAAAAGCTAGTTGCCTTGGGTCTTTCACTAAGCGACAACGAAGAACGATGGTGAAATTAGTGGAGTTTACTTCCCGGCGCCCTGTCGTGACCATGACTGGGTTTAGTGCCGGGGTTCGGTGACTGGCTATTGTGCGCTTCTATACAACCGTCATTAGTCATGACCTTTGTGCGAATGAATACAAAGATTAGCCGATAGACGTTGGCGTAGGCGACCATTTGAAGTCCCTCGACGATTGGACTTGCCAGCACCTGGAGGAATTACATCGAATGTAGAAAAAGAGAAAGCAAAGAAGAAGTAGGCGTGTTGAAAGGAAAAAAAAAACAGGAAAGTAAGAACATGGTGGTAGTAGTAGTAGTAGTAGGGAGAAACATGGGAGTGGCTGATGTTGGCCTACTAATGAGATCCTCCATGGGATGTTCATCTTTCATTTTGGACACGTTGACACATTTTTGTCCCTCCTTAAGAAATACAGAGCAAAAGATTCACAATTGGGTAAGAGTAGCATCTGCCATCGCTGACGTTCCTCTTCTTCTTTCTTCCTCTACATTGGTTTTCCATCTTTTTCTATGGGAGGGAAGAAAAGAAAAGATAAAAGTATACGAGATAATATCGCGCTCTCTTTATATTCTTTTTTTCATCCGATTTTATGAAGGGAACACTATTGAAAATTCTTACGCTTTGATTTCTACCGTATAAAACGTAATAAATTATTTCGTATCGAATCGGCATACAAATATTTTCAATTGACAAACTATATAACCAAAATTTGTAAAAGTATCGTAAATACAAAACTACAAAAGAAATTAAATATATTTGATTATATTATTATACTCAGAACTATAGGCAGCAAAACTCAATCATCGGTCAGCGATTTTTCTTTGTACACGTCGTCATCGTCAATAAATTAAAAGGCGATAACCAGACAGACGGTAGGAGACTTCTGTCTTTGTTTAAACACAAAGATAACCACGACCACGAGCACGACCACAAGTACGATGACGATGACTACAACATCGGTGGTGCTCGATGGCAGTCGAAGAAATCGTTATAAGCGAGGACTGTCCTTTCATGCGGTTTGAATTATTACGCACGGCCTCGACGATATATATGAGAAACTGACTATACCAAGCTTATATAGTGTAACGCGAAACAGTAGCGTACGTCGTACCGTTGACTATACACGGGTCGTAAATTATTCGCTGTCGAGCGAGCATTCAACGCTGGGAACGCTAGCCACGCTACGTTTACCTACCTTCCTTCTTCGACTCGGTTATAAAAAATGTCACGAGCATTAAACATGATTTCAAATTCGGACCGACTTCTAATATCTAACTTGATCTATGAATTATGATCGTTAGATAAATACTTTCAAAGTATTACATAAATTAATGAACGTACGTACGTACGAACGAACGAACGAAATAAGACGTTCCTGGTCCTTATCGTAATACCTTGAAATTTCCTATATCATTATATATTCTTCTTTTTCAATCTTTTAACAGGTAGATCGTAAATACAAGATTTAAGTACAAATTAATTATATACGTTAGAAACTCGGACAGTAATTGAAAGATTTGATCACAATTTAGTAATCGACATTATTCCTTGTAATATTTTTCTGTTAATGTTCTTACTAACAAATTATACTTAATTATATACAAGAATTTTTATCAAAAATGTTCGTGCAGATAAGAAATGACAAATAAATATACATTTAATCTTTCGAGATAATCTTTTTATCGATATAATTAAAGTGTAAGCATACAAGAAATAAGGAGAAATTATTATATATTAAAGGATTTCTCTTGAAATATTTTCACTCTAACATCTTTTAATATTTTTTACAGTTAATGCAGACAAGATATTTTATTATATTTTAAATTCAATACTAGCCATGTTGTTTATATAATAATGCGATAAAGAAGTCAAATTTATTGATATTCCTTTTGGAAAGATCGAATGTAATGTAAAACGCGAGAAGTATTTGAGAAATGATCTTTCGTTTCTGTTCGTTCATTTGCCAACTCGGTAAGAAACGCAAGTTCTTGAAAATATACATACATACATACACTTACGCATCCTACTCGAGTCAAAACTTGAAAGAAATGCGCGTTCTCGTGAAGATGCACCTGTCGTTCTCTTCTGAAAACGAACTGAAACATTTCTAATGGCTTTGTTTGCTCGAACGAGATGAGCCAACCACTACGTCAAAGATAAACTTATTTTTTTCTCTCATTCTTTTTTCTTTTTTATCATGACTCGTCTCGTATCTCCATCACTGCTTTCGGACGATTTACCGAAGATGAAGAAACGCTAATACGGGCTCGTATAACTCGATTTTATCCTGCGAATCTCTCCTTGAAACCGATCGTGGATAAGCTCCAAATTTATTATGTCGTTTGACGTCAATTTAGGTGTTTTCGTGAACATTTTTAAACCTTACGATCATAAATTAGATTTCCATGGCAATTAAGTTAATGTTTCGGGTTTGATGGGTTGTATGTTAAGTATATAATTTCGTACATTTCTACATCTCCAAAACGCATTGGTAAATAAATGTATATTATAATGCCATGAATTTAAATGAACTTTCTGATCCAATCATAAATCTATGAACATCTTCATTCGAGATATAATATTATCGATAATTAACGTATTGCAGAAACGATGTTTATTATATTGTAAAACGAATTTATATATACATACATGAAATATGATTTTGTTGACTCTAACTTAAATCGTAAATTGTTCGTAAATTAACAAAATTTTAATATCACATAACCATTAATATTTCCTCAATTCAAAATACATTATTCACAATGTATATTATTGCAAAATCTATATATTATATCATATTGACAAATAAACGAATTAAATGAATTAAACAGGATTACACGTAGATTTTATCCTGAACGTTTGCAAATGAGACAAACAAAAAAAAGAAATTATTTAAAATTATGTAATTATATATAAAACTGTTGAGAAAATGAGATTTATTTGATTTCTTATAGGATTTAAGAAGAGAGAATATAAGGACTAAAAAAGAATTGATCGTATCCATCAAAAGACGAAGAAGTGGCAAGCGAGGAAAGGGACAAATCAGAGAAAGAGAGAGAGAGAGGAGGCCATCCTGAATTGGATGAAAGAGTTTCTTTAATCGGCAACACGTACACGGATCAGTACACGCGTCAGTACGCGACGACGTAGTTAACGGCTTCCAGGAATGGTTTCTCGCTCGATCTCGACACGCTCTTGGCGACCATATCGAGGTTCCATCTGTGGCTACCGTGCCACGCCGACAGACGTTTCACCGATCGCCGATCTCAGCGGATTATTATGCTTGTCCCTGCTGACTATGATCACCGCAGACACGTTGGTATGCTTGGCTCATTAGCCGTTCGGTTCCCCGCCATCAAAGCGATGAATAATGGCTTTCCTTCCTTCATCCTGCTTTTCTTTTACTCACCCTCCTGATTCTTTCAACCTATGATGACCATTTATTAATTTCTCGTATCGAAAAATCCTAAATCTGGGCAACTTCGAAATTTCATTTTTCTGACAAACAAGTTTCCAACTTATATAGTGTTAAGTATATGACAATAATTTTAGAAACATAATATATATGATACGTGGTTAAATTTTGTCAATGACACGATTAGTAATATTAAAATATTAAAATATTAAAAATTAATACGAAATAAAAATAATGGACAATTCCAGAAAAGGAAAGTTAACCAATGACTATAATAAACCAACACAACAGAAATAAATTTTTTATGAGATATGGGAATATAAAAGAAAAATGAATGAAAAATATATAATATAAATCTTGTATTTTTTTTCTGTTTTCTTTAAGAATAAGCGAGAGAATAATCATCAAATAAAAATCACAATATTATGGGCGATAGGTTTGCTAATCGAGATGAAAATTAATCAAAGTCGTTCCTAAAAAGGATAGTTGTCGTCGTAATAGTAATCGCGTGAGAACGAGTTAAGCTTGGTAGATACGTCAAAGTTTTATATACTCGGTTGTTATAAGGGCTCAGTGGAGTCCTGTTTGGGTGATGAGCATCGATCTTCGATCGTTGGTACACGGGCTTTAAGAGCGAGGACGTTGCTTCAAAAAGGTTTGAAATATGCGCCTTTCGAATGAAAGAGAGAAAGAGATAGAGAGAAAGAAGAATATATATACGTTGGCTCGTAATTTATAACGGTCGTTTTCGCAACAAGAGCACGTCGAAATGACCACCCGGTGGCAGGCTAAAGGATGTTCGGTCATAACATCTGACGAAGCGAAACATTAGCAGGAGGATATATCAGCCTGGGCTCTCTTATAGACGAAGCGTGGGCAGTATCTTGAATATCACCCAGAAGAACGAGCACGAAATGATATGTGAAAGAAGTCGTTCCTCCGCTTCGTCACTTCCATTCTCCCTTTCATTCTTCTATACGAAGAACGAGGAGTGATCCTTTAGAAATGTCTTTTTTATCGAGATATGCATATGGTATTAATAAAAAAATAAATACACTTTTACCGATAGTACGATTTATCAAAAATTTACATATGTTTTACCTTTAGTGTTTTGTTTCTATTACAAATCTCTATTGGGTTTATGTGATATTACAAATAAATCTTATTATATCCTTAGATCGAATTTGATTCTGTTTTTCTTAAGAGCAATATTTGGTTCGACAACAGATTCTCTCAACGGTTGGGTTGGTTATGCATGGAATATTATGCTAAGGCGAACAAACACTGTGTGTGTGCGAGTTTATTTGTCTAACCAAAGGGGATGATGAATATGTAAACCAATTACGGGACAATTCGATCTAGGAAACACGAAATTAATGATTGGTATAATCGAAATTTCTGATATTCCGTAAAGAAAAATAGTTGATCATTCAAAGAAGAAACCTTTCGATCATTGATGAAATAAAATCTATTGGACCCTCAGCACACATGCTTCTAATGAAAATCAAAGGAGTTATGTAAATTTATGTTGGTCACGCAGGGCAAAAGCGTAGTACAAATAAATGCATAAAAGAAGACGAAGGTAAAAGCGAGGGCGACAGAGATCGTCCTTTTTTTCGATAGTCGTCACGATCACTAAAATAACGGCTTATACTATGGATATATATCGCATTGAAAGTACCGATTCGTGAGCTGTAACCCGTTTTAAGGGTTCGCGAAAGGAATGATCTCAAGTTGGTATATAAGCTATCTTCCTTCTCGTTCAATTTCCCGACTATTCTCTACAGCTGACAGTCAATCTACGTATTACGAAGGGTCCTCCTTGTTGTAGTCGTCGTTGTAGTCGTAGCATTTGAGGGAAGAACGTCTTTCCATTCCGTAAACCGACCATCCAATACACCATGAAACTTCGCACGCACAAATACACACGTATATATATATATATATATATATATATGTACATACGATCAGGGAATAACGTGGGATACGATCTCCGTAAAGGCGTCGCCGTTTAGATAATAACGCGCATTTTATCTCCCTCATAAAACCTAATTTATAACCGCATCCAAGTCTACAGGCGTGTACGTATGTATGTATGTCTGTCGGGAATAGAAAGGACTCCGACGGAGTTAGTGACGTAACCACGATTCGAGGAACCCTTTGGCTTTTTCGATTTACATGCGTGAACCTTTGCAATAAGTTTTTTCTTTTTTTCGACAAAAATTCTAACTTGTCGTTACGATAGTAAATATGTGTATTATGAATATTCGATTTTTTTCTATTGGAATCCGAGGAAGAATAATTCGTAAATTCATTGAACGATACAAATCTATGGAAAACATTTAAATCGTCGTTTACATTAAAGCAAATTCGTCGATGGAATAAAATCGTATAAATAATTGGAAAAAAACTTGGAATATTTGTAACGAAATCTGTAGTGTGTTAAATAATCTCCATTTCATCGTATTTCATTAAATCTCCTATATTTTCTCGTCAAATAAAATCCGTTTTATCTTGAAAATTTATATCTGGATTATGGATCTCGAAGATATATATTTGGATAAAAGAGAGGAGGTTCAAATCAAAGCGTTATTGAGCTTTGAGAAATTCGTGTTACCGTTAGATATTCGGTGTTGCAATCTTGGCATCAACGTTTTAGCCGATACGAAATATGCGTTATGTTGTTACTCGGATACTACTACGCGCATCAACTTTGAGATAGTTATCGACGATAAACCGAATACCTGTCTGTAGCGTATAATCGTAGACGTGTGGCGATAAGTAGACGATTTATTCTTATTACCGAGCCTTTAAGCAAACGTTTTGCGACATATAGATATAATATATACACGGTATGTGTGTATACGTGGAAATATACGCTAGGTTGGAAAACAGCTCGATATAATTTAATTCCGTCATATTGGAATAACGTTTCTCTAACCGAACGCGTCCCACTTTAACCGTAACTGCATTCTAAATTATTGCGTTTCGTGTAAACGATGATGGCAATGAGCCGTGTCGCCTTGATTCGTTCGAGATAAACTTAAGCCGAGTGATCATTTCCGGGAGAAAGAGAGAGAGAAGAGTGAGTCTATTTCAATAAAGAATCACGGACGCAAAGTTGGCATTTATTAAGATGGGAAATGATCTCATCAACGAATCCGCTAAATTTCAAACATTGTATCCTAGCAAATAGCCAATTTTAAAGAAGAAAATTATCATTTCTCTTTTATTATTATTCATTTCTTCTCTGTGTATAATATAATGATTCGATTAATAATTTAATCGAAAATAGTGAGAGCAACGACAACGATGATTATGATGGTAATGATGATGATAATGATGATGATGATGATGATGATGATGATGATGATGATGATGATGATGATGATGATGATGATGATGATGATGATGATGATGATGATNTAATGATGATGATGATGATGATGATGATGATGATGATGATGATGATGATGATGATGATGATGATGATGATGATGATGATGATGATGATGATGAAAATATCTAATGCGCATCAAATATAATAAGCAAAGAATCGATGTTCGAAATTACCGTGAAATGCTGTCCAAATGAATAGAAAAAAAAATAGAAAAAAGTGAGAGTAGTAGTAATAGGATAGGAGAAGTAAGAGGGTAAAGAGAGGAAAGAAGGATGGTTAAAAAGGTAAAGGAGGAAGATAGGGAAGTATTATGGTTCTTCCTGGCTCGTAACCTTTGGTCATAAAGCTACTGCACACTGAAATATTGTCCGCCGCAACGTCTCCACGCCTACGCTCATGGCTGGTCTATCCGTCGATCTATCTCAATACTATTACGCGTAATTTATTAGCGGCTTCAAGAACGATAAATCGATCCGTGAGACATCCGACTGTAAAACATCGGTACCCCGTCATCGTTCCTTAAACTTCTCACCTAATGGAATGACTGACGTAAATAATAATACTTTAGAGTGAGATAGTTTTATTAAACAAAAGAAAATTGCTCTAAGCAACAACAACCCGACGAATTTATCGTCCACGTAAGAAGAAAATCATCAAACATTTTGTTCTCTCAAGTCGAATTATTCGAGTAAAACCTTTTCTTACTTTTCTTACATACTATCCGATGATGATTCCTTGGATACCTTTTTACTATCCCATGAATGCATATATGTTATTATTTTCGTGTTCAAACGTAATGAAAATTATTTGATTTTCTACATAAGGTATGATTATTGTAAGAAGCTTTACTGGAGAATATTAAATATAAATTGGTTAATTATTGTTATTGCCTTATTAGCGCATTGAAAATATCAAGAATATCCTACGTAACATATATACATATATAACGGTGTTTCTCTCGTAGAGAGTATTATTCTTGAAGCATTTACACAAGACGGTGGTAACATTAATGTTGCTTCTCGATGGTGGTCGTGCTCGTAGTCGTGGTGGTAGTCCGCGGTCGTGAGTGCGCGCGAGCGCACGCACGATATTATTATCTCGTGATTCATAGCGCGCATTCATAAATGTACTTGGGGGCCGTATAACGGAGCGTGGTGGTGGTGCATGGCGCACGGTGCATAGCGCGGTGCACGGCGGCGGCGTGTATCGATTAACGTCGCTTCCCCGACGGGATTTACAACCGGCGACTAAATTATTTAAAGTCTTCATTTGTAGTGAGACGGATGGACGGACACGAGTCGCCTCCGTAGTACTCTACAGACCTCTCTCTCTCTCTCTTCGTTTATCTCAAGAGAAGCTTCTTGTACATTCGCTACAATAAGTTCTCTTAAGGTTTTCTGAGTTATATTTTATTTCTATTTCTTTTTTTTTTACCCCTGGATGAAATCGTTTCCTTTTCACCACAGGTTATGGCGAATATGCGAGATTGTAAAAATGAAATTTAAAAAAAAAGGATAATTTTGTCTAGAAAGGACGCACGTGGTTAGTCAGCCACCTTACCGAAACAAGATCATCCGGTTGAGGAGTTTTATAACAGAAAGAGTACGTCGAATAAGTGACTCTTGAGAAAAGAAAGGTTTTTCTTGAAAAAGAAGAAGTTCGTTCTTTCCAGACGAACCAAAACTACCAATGGCGTTTGTATTTATTAAGAGTGGCAGAAGCGCACCACGATTCAACAGAGGGGCTACCGTAAATATTTTTGAACTCGAGTGTTCCCTACAAAGATCAACGGATTGTGTTGGCGTGCCGGAGCTGCCGCCGTCCGCGACACGAACGTCCGAACTCTCTTTTGTCGACAGAGAGAGAGAAAGAGAAAGAGAAAGAAAGAGATGAGGTTAAGAAGACAAGAAACAAGGACGGAGATGAATAGATAAATGGATAGAGATAGAGAGGAGGACAAGAGTATAGGGGATGGGTGAAAGAGAGAAAGCGAACGTGTTCCAAGCGTCCATGGAAGGCACGTCGTGCACAACGCTGGCGAACTCGTGTGTGTTCCGTGTTTCGAATGCACGAAACAAGCGCTGCTTGTCCGCGGCCACCTGAGTTATGATCGTTCTCTGCCCACCCTGCACGCTCGCTTGCTTGCTCGCTTGCTCGCCTGCTTGCTTGCTTGCTTGCTTGCTTGGGTACCCACCTCCACGTTTGCTCGACTGGTCTCTTCTTCTTCTTCTTCTTCTTCTTCTTCTTCTTCTTCTTCTTCTTCTTCTTCTTCTTCTTCTTCTTCTTCTTCTTCTTCTCTTTCTCTTCCTTCGGCAGTTTTCTCCCTCCACGCGTTAGCTAGCATCATCGGCCATCTTGACTGAAGAAAACCGGTTGGTTCTTCTTACATCGGGGACTTTAGGTATATTCACCGACCAGCGGCGAAAACTGGTGTGCCGTTTCGAGTTGACTCCTTCGAGATAACTGGCATCAACTACTATTACCAGTGATCTCTTTGTCTTATTTTTTTCATTTTTATTTTATAAATGATATATACTTAATTTATATGTAATCAATCGTTTACGCGAGATGATGAAAAATTTCCAATTTCATGTTACTTTTGTTACTTTATTTCAATACGGAAGATATACTTTTTTACTTTGAAAGTTTGTCGTACTTTATGATTATTTTTTTTTTT